GAGACCTGTCCAGGGTGTACCCCGCCCCTCGCACAGTGATTGCTGGACATGGGCACCGGCGACCCCCGTGACCCAAAATGGAAGAAGCGGGTAAAAGATGATGGATAGATATTTTAAATAAAAATTCCATGCTGATTGTGCAGCTCATCCATCAATCAGCCGGATGTGTGCCATGTCCAATCTTATTTTGAAAAACTGCGATACAGCAAGTCCACAATAAACGAATCGTGAAGTAGCGAGGGACTACTGTACTGTTAAAAAATAAATGGGCTATTCACTAAGTGGAAATATTTTGCATATCCAGAGAACACTGAAAACATTCAGTTTTAATTAGTGTAAACACCCCACCCCCACACTAAGGACTGGAAGAGGCTTCTTGTAGGATGAAAATGACCCATGAGCCACCAGTTGATGACACTATTTTAGTCTAAAAACAGTTTTAATTCAGCAAGATGTGAGTGGGAAAAAATACTATTTTAGTACAAACTAATAAACAGGGAAAGCACTAATTTGTACTATGACATTGATAAAAGCATTGCAGAATAAAAAACAGGAAGTGTTTTTTATTTATATAGCAGGTTTTTTTTTTTTGTAAACATGGTGAAATGAAAAAAAAAACCCAACACTTCTTTGTTTTGTATTGGTTTAAAAGTCAGTGATTTTCTCTGTATACTCTCTACGTGCCTCGTTTAGTTCTGAGCGTTCACCTTCAAGTCTTGTTCTCGATGGAAGTCGAAAATAGCTCAAACAGGAAACAGAGAAGGGACGAAGCATTGTTGCTTCATCACTTCTGGTTGCATAAGAACAGCATGCTGTAAAGAAACGTGTGTTTTTTTGTTTTTTTTTATCAGGTTGTGAAACCTATTATTTCATCAGATGTTCTTGAGCAGATGAGAAAAGTAGTCGTAAACACACACACATGCACAAAGTTTAATCACTATAGTGAGAGAAAAGCAATTTAAACTGGTTCTGAAGTGGAAAAAAAGGAAAGTTTATGTGTAATTAGCACACATTTCTATCTTGCTTATCATTACACATGTCCGAAGGTTTGAGATATGATGGCAGTCTTTTATATTTCACACTTTACTCCTTTGATGTTCGGCTGGTTTTAGAGCATTAGTACGACCACTAACACTTGACCTGTTGTGACCTCAAATGTAGGAATATCTGCAGTAAAACCTTCTGTGGGGTGGAGGAATTCTGTTTAAATCCATTTGGAGAAGACAGAGGGGGCAGAAGAGAAAACTGAGGATAGACAAAATCAGGACTTTTCCACCAACATGGTGGAATCTTACATAGGCCTACAGTTCTGTGGTTAGTACGTGAGTGTGGCTGTGATAGGTCGATGGTTAAAGTATTGGTCATCAGTAGGTTTGATCCTGCTTATATTTATTAGAATCAGTGACCATGTATTCTAAAATGATTTTTTTCACTTTTATAATTTTTTTTTATAACAGAGATAAAGCTTTTTCAGATCCAAACAATATTGAGTGCAATTGTTCAGCAATCTGTTATCTCTGTCATGTATCAGACAGTCAGGCGCTGTGTTAATTAATTTAGTCATGCGTTGAAGCGATCAATTAATCCCCGTGTCACGTGGGGGTGGATGTGGCTGTAGGATCCGTTCCTCTCATTTATTACACAGGTCTGTTTTTCATGACACACATCAACTCGCGGGAGGAAGAAAAAGGTTTGTGCAACAAAACAAACAAAAAAGAAAACATGAGCAACATAATCCTATTTTTATCACTGAAAATTTAACCCAATTTGTAATTTTTGTGCAGTTAGTAAATCAGAAAATTAATGTCTGCCCCACTAATATTTGTGCTCAGGAGCCGCCACTACTTTAGATCTAAACTCTACTTTAGATGTGACACCACAAGCCCCTGATTCACTAATAATTAATTTTCATCAGTACACAACCTGTTCATTCAGTTTTAAGATGAACTCATTTTGTTGATGAATTTAGTAAAATCCATAACATTCCATGAAAATGAAAGAGACAGATTGTTGACTGAGCTGAATCACCGTTTGGAGCAACTGTGAATGAGAGGGATTACTCCGAGGTTAAGCTTCTGCATCACAATAGCTGCTGAAAGTTTCCATCGCAGGCGGCGTACAGACAGCTTAGCGCGCAACACTTGTTAACAACACAGAATCAGAAATGAATTTGTAAGCACTGCACTTAGACAGAAGTGGGTCAAACATGATAACGTCCTCCCAAAGCTGATCCTATTTGGATGTGAACAGGGTGCCCTTGTTTTGTCCATTGTGCAAACAGGATTAATGTTGTGTGCTTTTAATATAATAAACAATAAAATTGTTGCATGAGACAATTGACCCAGAAATCTGACACATTAATAAACAAATACAAAAAAGGAGAGGTCAAACATGTTCAGTGTGTTTTTAAATTGATTTGAATAAGCTCTAAAGAAGTTACCAAAGTTAGGGTCAGGACCCCACTTTGAGTCATGAAATGCAAAATGAGGGTCCCCAGATAATCATCAAAAGTCCTATTTAAAGTAAAACGATATGTTGCCATATACTGTATGTTCTTAAACAAACAAACAAAAACAAACAAACTATCAGAAATGAAGTAAATTGCATTATAGCTGTTAAGGCTGCTTATATCATTTTTTACCCTTGACTCAAGGGTAAAAAAATGATATAAGCAGCCTTATAGGGGTGGGCAATTATTTT